TGTAATACTTTAATAATTCTTCAACAGAAAACTAGTAACATGTATTGAATAATTTATTAAGTTTGTTTGTTGGTTTGATACTTTGTAATACTTTAATAATTCTTCAACAGAAAACTAGTAACATGTATTGAATAATTTATTAAGTTTGTTTGTTGGTTTGATACTTTGTAATACTTTAATAATTCTTCAACAGAAAACTAGTAACATGTATTGAATAATTTATTAAGTTTGTTTGTTGGTTTGATACTTTGTAATACTTTAATAATTCTTCCACAGAAAACTAGTAACATGTATTGAATAATTTATTAAGTTTGTTTGTTGGTTTGATACTTTGTAATACTTTAATAATTCTTCAACAGAAAACTAGTAACATGTATTGAATAATTTATTAACTTTGTTTGTTGGATGTTGAATTTCCTTCTAGTTATGTCACGTTTCAAATATCTTGAACAAAATATGTCTTGCAATTTCTGAGAAATTGTACACATATATCTTTAAAGAATTAATATATTTTAGGCCTAATAGTTGTAACAGTTTGTTCAGACTATTAAATAACTGCAGTGATAAAAATTAAATTTCCTGATTTTATGATGTTCCATCAATAGCACAAAAGTTTTTAATAAAAGTTTGAATTATTTTTAAAATGATAAAAATGCTTTATTCTATTTGAATAATCTCATTAGATAACAAAAACATGTTTTAAAAATGAAATTTACACTACTGGTCATATATATATTAATACATAAAGCACTCAAATAAACTATTCAATTATAAAGCAATACCAAATTCATTTCTGAACTATAAAATACAACAAAAATGTTTTTATAGAAATATCAATGATCACAGAAGTTCATTGAACTTAGTTGTTCTATTTCAAGATTTTATTTTAAAATATTCTACTGGATAGAAATTCTTTTGAATGGTATCAAATCAACCAAAAAAACTGAAAGATGAAATATTTATTTAGAAAATTATTTCTTATTGTTCCTGAAACATTTTTATTTTATAAATAATATATAGATCAAGAAATCTTAGCAGAACATAAAAAAAAACGATTTTGGTATTAAAATTTTTAGCTCCTTGTTAATTTTTTTATCAGGTAAATTCACCCTAGTGACAATTTAAATTATCTAGAACAGTTTCATAATTCCCCAAATGAAATAATATAAAAAAAAAACATCTGCAGAGTTCTATATCAAATCTAAGTAGTCTTTCTTGTTTTAACTGAAGGTACTGTTCTACAGTTATAGTTAGCAATATGTCAGATCTAAGTAGCCTTAATTTTTTAACTGAAGGTACTGTTCTACAGTTATAGTTAGCACTATGTCAGATCTAAGTAACCTTTGTTGTTTTAACTGAAATATTGTTCTACAGTTATAGTTAGCAATACGTCAGATCTAAGTTGCCTTTATTGTTTTAACTGAAACGACTGCTCTACATTTATAGTTAGCACTATGCCAGATCTAAGTAACCTTTATTGTTTTAACTGAAACGACTGCTCTACTGTTGAGCTTAGCAATATGTCAGATCTAAGTTGCCTTTATTGTTTTAACTGAAATGACTGCTCTACATTTATAGTTAGCACTATGCCAGATCTAAGTAACCTTTATTGTTTTAACTGAAACGACTGCTCTACTGTTGAGCTTAGCAATATGTCAGATCTAAGTAACCTTTATTGTTTTAACTGAAGGTACTGTTCTACAGTTATAGTTAGCAATATGTCAGATCTAAGTTGCCTTTATTGTTTTAACTGAAACGACTGCTCTACAGTTATAGTTAGCACTATGTCAGATCTAAGTAACCTTTATTGTTTTCGTTCAGTTACTGCTCTACAGTTATAGTTAGCACTATGTTAGATCTAAGTAACCTTTCTTGTTTTGCACTACTTTGCCTTTGATCTGGGTAATTTAAACAATTATTAATCCAGACAGATTAAAGCTTGAGAAAACATAATCTCCTCACTTATAAATCGAGTTAATTCATCACTCACCTTTCCTGTTCCAAAACGATGATTTGGTGCCGTGAGCCAACCGACAGTACCCATCTATTAAATCTGCTATACTTTCAGCCACGGCAAGCGAAGGGCATGAAATGCTCAACATCTGAGAAACAAGTAATTTTTTTATTACATCTCAGTCTACAGTTTACCATTTTAGCAAAAACTTAGCATTGTAGCTTAACACTTACAGTTTAACACTCAAAAACCTACAACATTAATGTAAAAACAACTATTACAACTCTTTTAGTACTCCAGTTTATCTAACAGATCTGGAAAACAGTTTAACAATAAGTCAACATATGCTAATAGTCGTTTCTTAACACAAGCTCAAGTTCAAAATTGAAATATTCCTAATGTACTTACAAAAATACTGAATACTTAAACACAAAAATATTTTTTTTAATTTCAATGTTACAACTATAGCCTAACATACTAGAGCAGCTCTTTGCTTACCTTAGGTATACCTAAAACCTAACATATTAAAATGTATCTTTATATATACATCTGATCCACCCACAAACTAACATACATCTGGTTTACCTACAATCTAACAAATTAACACGTTTTGTACCTCATGAGCATCCACAGACTAATACATTAACACATATATTTTTTATATGTCCAGCACAACATATTTTAATGTATGTTGGGTGCACCCACATTATAACACATATTAGATACCTCAGGTGCACCTGCTATCTTTAGCTGGATCACGGACTTGTTTCCCGTTTCATATTCATTCATTACAGTCTGGATGCTCTGGACATGTTGGAAACTGGCCATGTGGTTAGGCTGAAACAAAACAAGTAACTGGTTAACTGTTGGTTGTGTGATTAGGCTGCAAGTCAACAGATGACTAATCATTGGTCATGGTTTAAATGATTAACAGTTGTTCCATTGTTTTAGAATATCATGCTGTTTTTTTTTGTTCTACCCCTTTGAACAGCAGTGTCTTTTTATACCAAAGTTTTACTACACAAAGTCAAATGCTGTGAATCTGTTTGAAGACTCTTGAAGCAACACTTACTCGACAAGCTTAACTGTGACATGGTAACCTTAGAGTATTTTCTATTTCAAGAGTTTGGCTATGATACATTACAGTTCACATTTTACTGTAATCTTACAGTGTACTCTACTTCGTAAATGTAGACATGATGTATTACAGTTCACATTTAACTGTAATCTTACAGTGTACTCTACTTCGTAAATGTAGACATGATGTATTACAGTTCACATTTGAACTCTAATCTTACAGTGTACTCTACTTCGTAAATGTAGACATGATGTATTACAGTTTACATTTAACTCTAATCTTACAGTGTACTCTACTTCGTAAATGTAGACATGATACATTACAGTTCACATTTTACTGTAATCTTACAGTGTACTCTACTTCGTAAATGTAGACATGATGTATTAGAGTTCACATTTAACTCTAATCTTACAGATTTAACTTATGGATATATAATCTTTCAGCTGATTGTTATGGTTACCTGTGCATCAGTCTGATAACTAATCCCAACTTCAGGACCGATGACAAGCTCTACAGGTACGCTCCAACCAGTCTGTTACAAAAGAAGAAAGATCAGAGCTTACAGCAATACTGAACAAACCAAAAAACTGGTTAAATTGTGACAAATACAACAAGTACAAGCGACATGAAAATAATGATGTTTAATCTATCTAATGCAAGAACAAAAACAATAAAGCAAAAAATTATGAAAACTAATTACTTCTGAAGATTATCTTTAATTTAATTCTTCTTTTGTATAACAAACATGTTAAAATTTCATGTTAAGAAGCTATGTTGACTCTGACAGACATTATGTTAACTCTGACAGATGTTACGTTAACTCTGACAAACGTTACTTTAACTCTGACAGACGTTACGTTAACTCTGATAGATGTTACGTTAACTCTGATGGACGTTACGTTAACTCTGACAGACGTTAGATTAACTCTGACAGATGTTACGTTAATTCTGATAGACATTCCTGTATCGTGGGTGGAATTGTACATGAGTAATCATCACTATAGGCCAGCCCCAACCAGACAGCCAAGGTTCTGTTACTCGGGGTTGGAATTAAGGGGCCTTGGTCCTTATATCCCACTTTGGTGGCTAGGGCAATTGGACCACAACATTATATATATAGATATACTTGTGATTGGATCCCAACCTGTAGCCATAGAGTGATGCATTCTGAACCACCGGAATCACAACGAGAAGGTAAGAAACACCTAATCACACAAACCTAAAGAAGCCCAAAAGGCAACACCCCAGGCTCTGAATGACAGGAACGTGTATGTTGTATTCTCGACCAAAAAAAAAGACCTCATTGGGTCTGGAATTATGAACATTTATCCTCACTCCCCAAATGACCAGCATTATAGGGAGGACATGGAACAACTGTGCTCAACCAAGGACCCAGGATGGGAACACTCCACACTAGGAATTATGAGGAGATAGTGGACCCCTTCCATGGACAATGTACTGAACTGATATTGTTAAAAAAGAAGGACCATGCCCACCTCAACTCGACAGCCGAGTGTCAAATCTGAACCAGTATTACGAGTATGCTCCTGCATAGGCTAATGCTGCTCCTATCAACATCTGGGGAAGAAAAAAAAACAGGGACCTGGGTAGGTGGGCCTCCTAACTTTGCTTTCTTCTAATTCACTCTAACACTCTAGATGAAAAGCCTCTGTCCACCACCCCAATGACTGGAAACTGGGTGTGGTAAGAGCTCCCTAACTCCACTAGTAGAATTTGGGAGATAATGCACATTGGGGAGTCCTGAGGAACAATAATCTGGAAACAGTGCAATAGATGAACCAAGTTCCCTAAATTTTTAAAAGCAAACTAACCCGATTTATTCAATCCAACAATCAGCAGGGATGGCCAGGATCCCCTTTAGCTTTACTCATAGCAGTCCAGCATAGTACAGTATAACACCTGGTGAGCTCCTAGGTCTTATGGAACACCAAATTTCTACAAAGTCTGTTGCAACCATTAGTAATTATAGTTAAATAGTGGTTCCAGTGCAGAATTGGCTTGATAATAGCACAACTGTCAAATGAAAAGACTGCCAGATCAGACAAATAATGTGAGATAAAGGTATTCGGGGAGGTCCACAACCAGTCTGCATAACAACCTCCAGCGGGCAATTTGATCGGGCTGCTAAAGACATAGAAAAGAGAAATCTGATTAGACATGACTCACAGAAGATACCTCACCTTCAGAGAGAGTGCAGAATAAAAAGAGTTGTCTAGTATCTCTAAAAGTATAAGTGCAGGCAACAAAACCTTTAAGATCCTCACTGAACATGACCAAGATCAAAATCTGATAGGACATAGAGAGAAAGAGTGAGCAGATGAATCAGAGAAAAGGACTGAACCCATTTCCCGTCTGACAGAATGTTGGGTATGAAGAACTGGTCTGAGAATGTAGAGAGAATAGGAAAGTGGTCTGTGTACAAACAGTGCAAATAACTCTGACCAGTGATGTCTGTTGGTCAGCAACAATAAAACATAACCCTGCAGGGGATAGATGGCATATATGTAGTTGTGACAATCGAATGGTAGTTGATAAAGCTGCCATAAACAATGGCAATTGTGGAAGATGCAAAAACCTCTGTCAAAGAGTCAAGTGAAAAACAAGTTAAGGTTGACATAACTGATTGAAAAGGATTCAACCTCCCCTCAATACAACATTGCCAATATGCATTTCATTACAGCTGATAAAAGTGTCTTTTGGACTAAGCAGAAACTGAGACAGATACATTTCAACCTTAGAAATTAAACCCCAATGCTGTATGAAAGACAGCATAACCTCTATGCCAGATGCACCATATCAAATCATGGCTGCCTCCACAGCAAGAGCCTAAAAAGAAGTGGAAGACTTGGATCTACCGGAATGGACTGCAAAAGCAGAAACCAGGGTGTAGCAGTCAATCTGGTACTATCAAGAGGATCTGACAATGGGTTGGAACAAATCATATATCTTACCCTGGCTAACATATGAAGTAAATAGAAGGTTTAGAGTGATAATCCCATCCTGTCCAGACAAAAAGCAATTACTGCCAAAGCCCAAAGAGGAGGTACTGGAGACCAAATTGACAGATATTGGATCATCCAATGAAAGGCCAACAAACCAATTAGAGTTGTAAAATGAAAGCCAAACCAACAGAACTTTGTGATGCAGCATCTATTCTGTTGGGAGAAGAATCTGTTTGGATTGAAACCTTCTACTACAAGCATCAAGTGGCACATGACAAGCTAGAAGAGTGATAAGATTGGACTAGTTCTGAGAAAGGAGGTCCAAAATTCGAAGATAAGGAGCCCTAGACCACATGCCTCTTTGATGAGAAACATAAAACACAACCACGGAATAGTCAGAATAAAGCCTGACAATTTATCCCTTAAGAAGGCCAGACCATGAGGCCTTGCCTGTTGAAGAGCAAGTAGGACAAAAATATTGTGCAAGGAATCCTTGTCGTTCGTGCATAGACTCTGGAATTCCTGTTGTTGGTATATGCACCCCATCCCTGCAGCAACTCTGGATGAGGTGGAAGTAGAGGAACCCAAGTCATAGTAGTTTCCCAACTTAATAGTGTATGATCCTTGATTACTTAAAGACCAATAAAAGGATCACTTGTGTTCTTGTCCCAACGGCATGAAGGATTCAAGTGATATCGACATTCTCAGAAGAGAAAGAAACATCTGTGTAATGGGAGAAAGAGTGTGGTGTCCTATTCTGTAACACTGAGCAGGATGGGAAACGGATGAACCCAGCTGAGATACGAGATGAAAAACACCCACACTGATGACATATTGAATTGAAGCAAGAATAGATGTCGCAGTCCTGAAAGTATAATAAGGATGTGATGATCTAACAATTGATGAGATGGTGCCAGTCGTAACCAGTCTTCTGTGGAATGGTGTGTACACAGTACGATGGAATGAAGGGGATGAGAAAAAAACTTGTATGATATGGCTAAACCCATGTGCTGAAAGTGGTGGAACTTTACCAATGAGGCAAAGTGCAGATAGGAGCTGACTACAACATCTACAAATCCCAGTAAAAAAAAATCAACACAGACTGAGGAATGTGTAACTTGTGAACCTTGGATAATTGATACAGACAAGGAAGATCGATGACTGGACACCAATTTCCTATCTGCATAGGCCCAACAACTGACAGGAATAAAAACTCTGAAAAACTAGCCCAACTCTCTCATTACCCCCAGACCAACCAGACTCAGATAAACCTAGAACTAAGTTCCAAATCCCAATGAGCTGTGGGAGATGGAAACCCTATAGGTTGGGTGGATAAAAGTGGGGAAGATGTGAACTGAACAACTAATTGTGACCCAAGCACCTGGACGCATGGTTAAAGTTACAACACATCCAGAAATTCATGGAACCGAGCCCAAACATCCCCTGAAGGTATACAATAATCACCGACGCTGCTGGTGATCCAACTAAGCAGTGGAAATCTTGGATATAGACAGAATCTATTCTGAGTACCAACAAACTAAGCAGCTGATGTCGGTGGTCGGACTCACAAATAGGGGTGGAACTAAGACCTCCTGTAGGAGCTGATAAAATTCCAGACTCCAATAACAAGTGGAAGGAACATAGAAGCCGAAAATTGAACAAACATGCATGCTAACAAGGGATACAGCTCATCATCAATGAAGCTGGTGATCCTGAGAGTGAAATAAAACAAAATGTTGAATATGAGTTGCAAGTCCATAACCTTACTCTGACCCGTCAGTGGACATAGACTTACATAGGTGAACTACAAACTCTACCTCAGAACCCTGAAATGTGAGGAGCAGATGCATTATCTGAGAGTTGGAAAAATGCCTCCACCTGGTGGTAGTAGGCTAAATCATAAAGTTCCGACAATGTATCAGATAAGGCCTAACTGTCCCTTCACATAACTAAGAAGTAAACCTTCTAGCATGAACCACAATTTGCTCTCCCAGGCTTTTCAGCCATCAAGTAAGTTGGAGGCTCAAAAGCAACTGGGAAAAAGCCAAAAACATCACACACTCAAAGAACCAACAGAAGAAAAACAAATCCAAGGC